GAATTTTTCCGAACCAAGTCAGATAAAGATCCAGTCAGAATATAGTTCCAGACTTAGAAATATTTCAGAGAACTCTAGAAACCTCAAGACAATAATTTTTCAAATCATCTCGTAAATTCTAGCATGAGATTTAAATGATTTTAAAAATCGAGCTAGCGAACCTAGTAATATCAAATAATAAGATTGGAGTTTATCAGATTGAGCTTAATACTTAGAATATTTTGCTCAATTATTTTGTAGTTTGAGGAGAGTCGAGTCTTTGTTAGCTACCCATCTCAGTTCCGCATTTACATTCTTCAGCTTCCAGGTATTTTCATAAAAAATTATTTCCCGATGGAATCCAACGGTATTTCCCGATATTGCCGAAAGTCTTTAAATAGCCAAAAAAATGCCAATGAAGTTACCATATTTCGAGCAGCGCACAACTTCGTGGCAATTATTTCAACAGACAGTTTCCGACGACTCAGTTGTCCAAGTTTGATCGATAAGCTTTCATTTTGTTCCTCTTTCCATGGCAACAATACTCTTTAATCCATTTAATGTCTTGACCTAATATGAGGCTTGAATTTGAAATGACATTTTCTGCATTTTTTTTTTTATTTTCTTCTTAATTATACGTTACTTTTCCCGTGGGAACAAGAATTAACCAAGTGAAAATTTAGAATGGCATAAATGAAAATAAGAGAAAAATAATTAAAGTTGATATGATGTAAAAATAAGAGAAAAATGATTGAAAGTGATAGTTAGTTAAAATTATGTGAGTGGATGAATAGTGAATTAAAATTGATGTAATGTGTAAGAATGATTAGTTGTTATAATTTAATTATATTAATAATATTGGAGATAGTGATATTGAATTAAAGTTGAGTTAAATTTGAATTTTGATTGGTTTTTGTTTTTGGGTGAATTGATAAACAATCACCCCCGTAGTAATTCAATTAATAAGATTTTTCTTTAATAATTTATATAAAAAAGTGAAAGGACACGTCATAATTTTAATAGATGCATATTGTTAGGTATGTACAAGGCATGTACGAGAGATACTTGATTGTAGAACGACTCTAGATTAAAAAGATGTCGATAGATTAAATTTGAACCCAACATCGTTGTTTCCATTTCACGCGAGTCATGAACATTAAAATCATTCACGATCTAAGGGTAATCAAGGTGGGATTGATGCTGCAGTTGCCACTAGAAATGAGAAAATTTTGCAGGCATGAAATCTCCAAGATTCTCATACTATGGTTCCTTACATATGATGTTGCATAAATTTCAATCGATCAGAATTCAGCAAAAATACACGGTCATCACGGTCACAATCTGTTGGAAATTATGATTCAAGAGATGAACACTCTGTTTTATTTAGCTCAGCACTCAACATGTGGTGGAGAAGCATATCAACCCTCTGATTCCTTGACTTACTCCTGCACAACACCACATCAAACATAATCAATAATTCAGATCATTAATAAATAAATTTACAAAAGTATGTCACCGCATACCCAAGGTTACGCCTCCTCCGCCTTTCTCCTTCTTCTTCCTGAATTGTATGATAAACGAGTATTCGTTAATAACAATACATATATTTATTTAAAGAAATAAAAATGAAGCACCCATAATTTATGGCTTAATCTCTGTGCTGCATCTTCTATCACTTCATGAGTTGCACATTAGTCTTTATACTTGCTCATCAATTCTACCTAAACACTTGTAAGTTTATATCATCCACAATTTCTCCATTACCAATTCACAAACAATACTAACCTTGACCTCCCCATTGCCAGACTCACAAGATTCAAGATCCATTTCGGCAAAGAAAGCTTCCAAGACAAAGGCCACCACCTGACACAATTACCGAAAAGGGAAAACACAATAATCATATCATTGTCATACAAGTATGAAAATGAATGTATCGTACTCTAAATATGAAAAGCCCCTTAAATATGACATAACTGTTTTGCCTTCAAAATGACTTGTGTCAGTTGAAGTTTCTCAGTCACATCAGCAACGAGTTTCATTATTCATTCAAGCAACTAAAACTTGAGGAATCAAATAAAGTTGATCAATTATCATCCGAATTTAAGCAAAGCCCAACACTGATGCTCAAAGTCTATGTAGGTAGGTCTCTTATACTATAAAGTCGTAAGATGCAATCATCTGAACTTGTACTAATGATCGTGTACAAATATGAACATGTTAACTCCTCTATTTGCTTTATGGATCACATACCATGAAAACAAGAGAATTCTTCAGAATGTATTATATAGTTCGATGTGCATTACATTCATAAATTGGTAAACTAACACACAGAAACATAAATATCGCATTCAAACTTCAGTATACAAGGAGCTCATAGGCTAAAGAGAAGAAGTCTGCAGAATTGGCAGCATCTTACCAAATTCAACAGCAGCAGGACAGTGATTAGATAGAAACTGACGAAGTAGGCATAAGTCCAAACAGTTCCAGTCAAGTCCTTGTAACTCTGGAAGTTTCAACAATTAGTGAATCACAAATCACTTGCAAAGTTGAAGCAACCTAAAATGAGAAATTATATGCCACATTACTGACTTTGTTTCAAGTAACAAAGTCATGCAATTCTAATTGGTCAGAGAAAAAATGCACATACAAGATCACATTAGCATGGGGTTTCATATATAAGTGCACTTGATAACTATTTGAAGTGTTTGGTGGTTAATGTGCATTGGATAATTTTATTTAGTAAGTCGGTCACTTAAAGTCTATCCTGAAGAAGTGAAAAAACTGATCACTTGAAGCCACTTCAACCATGGAGGAACAAGAAACAGAATATAGTTTCATGGTCAGTGCTGAACCTGAATATGAACTAAGGCTAAACTTGGTCGTGAGATAATCAACTTTTCATTGAAGCAGATATTTAGGTTCAATGGCAACCAAAGTTCATATTTCATCTGATCTGTTGTTTCATGAGTGCAAAGATTGATTAACATATTTTTCAGACAACTACAATATATCTGCACA